TCTGACATGATCATAACCGCTAGGGAGGTTAAAAATCCTCAATAGGCGTACGCTAATAAAAGTCTTTACAGGTTACCAATTTAGAGTTACACAGGAGATTTGGTGTGGGAAATGATTGCTCTCACTGGTGCGATTGCTGTTTATGTATGATTGAGGGGCTAAAGCATGCGTTCACCTTTGTGCATGAGCACAGTGGGGACAGGGGTGATTTAAAATGCTCAAAATTAATATTTATACTGTTTGATTATTTTTTACACTGCAACTTTAATTTTTTTAATCACTTTTTATTGCTATCACAAGAGATGAACAACATCAACACCTCTTGTGATAGCATGCCCCATGAAAGGTTCTCCTTTTGGAAAGATCTAGGGTCTATTGGATCCCATATCTCTGCTCTGGCCTCCAAAGTATCAGATCAAACCAAGATCAGTTTTATCTAATAATTGTATAAGACAGTAATTGGATTGTTTACATCCTAGCAAACTGAAAGTGATAAAATACTCATTGTTTCTAATTTCTTATACCATTCTGGTCCTCAGTCATCTCTACAGTAAACTGGCTGGCTGAAAACAAAGATATCGGGATGATGCCTAGCTGCAGGTCTCATCACAGTACACCACTTCAACCAGAGGATGTTTGGGTAGTTCGCAGAGGCTGAAGTGGTTAATCTTTGACAATAGAACCTGAAAAATGATTTTTTATGCAGAGCTGCACCAGATATTGCAAGTTCACAATAGTGAATCTATTCCCCAGGGCATCTGAATTATTATGTTGTCTAGGGAAAAAAAGCTGTTATGTATTGCCTATATCACATGATTGGTAGATGGTGCAGTTGCATATGTGCAGTCCTTGGATAACACCGTGCTGTTGGGTCACTATTCTGCTATGTTCTTACTTTTTTTTGTTTATATTTCATGTTGCTTTCATGTTTTTGTTCAATAAATGTACTTAAAGCAGCCTTCCCCTTTTGTTCACAGTCATTATCACAGTGTATAACAACTACTCTGTTATGTTGCATAAATGTTATATAAATATTGCATTTATGTGTTCTATTCAGAACACTTTTTCGATTAGTTTGCTCTTATTACATAAAATGTTGCACTGGTGGGAAAACTTACTGGAAAATATACATTTTCTAATATTTTTCTCTTTCTTCAAAATTAAATCTATAAAATAAATATATGTTGTATACAGTATGTATTAAATCTACTAAATGAAAGCACTGTCTGCCCCTAAACAAAAAAAGAGGCATATTCACTCTAAAAAGAAAAATGTTATTTGGCATTATACCCACCATACTCGTACACGGGGCTCTTTTCTCAGGAAGTAGGCACAGGTACTCCCCCCTTCCAAGTCACCCCTTGACTCCACACCCTACTCACCTCCAAGCACTGTCCCTTCATTCCACCCCCTATCCATCTTTCAAGTACTGCCACATTTAGAGAAAACATATCATTTTGTGATGTTAAGCAATTTATAAGGAATTTGCTAATGATAACAAGTAAAGCAGTAAAAAATACCCCTGCAGCCAGCAACAATAGTCCCCCCCCCACAGCAACAAAAGACCCCCCCCAGGCAACAACAGACCCCTCCCTCAATAATAGTTAAATCCCAGCAACATAAGACCCACACCAACAGCAATAAACCTCACCCTCAACAATTGATCCACCAACAACAATAGATCTGACAATAATTTCCCAGATAACCCGATCTTGAGAGGCAGCAGGCACAAATTACAGGTGCACCTTTGATCTTTACTGTGAAAACCTGTCTTGGTAAAATAACCTACTCCCACAGTTTGTACAAGTTTTCCATGGTATTTCATCCTTTAAATGTCAACCTAAATGACGCCTGATTTTATTGAGCCCAATGACAATGACTTAATAAATCCACAAGCACTTGGACCCCAAAAGGATTTGCTGTGAAGTCCACAATAGCTTCTTTTTTCATCTTACATGGCACATTTAGCCTGTCATTCACAATATTTCCACAATTCCAGCTATTTAGCCTCTCTTTCTCACAATATTGAATACATCAGAAGTGCACATTGGCATAATGCATTCTATTGAGACAATTTATCCATCCATGCATTAGGGCAGCACAGTGGCTAAATGGTTAGCACTTCTGCCTGGCAGTGTTAGGGGCGTTGGTTTGAATCCCAGCCACAACACCACCTGCCTGGAGTTTTCATGTTCTTCCTGTGCCTGTGTGGGTTTCCTCTGGGTACTCCAGTTTCCTCTCACACTCCAAAGACATGCTGGTAGGTTAATTGGATCCTGTATAAATTGGCCCTAGTATATGATGTAAGTTAGGGACTAGAGATGAGCGAAGTATTCAAAAATTCGATTCGACTGATTCGGCGAATTCGTGGAAAATTTTTGATTCGAGTCGAATATATTCGCTGCGAATTTAACTTATAAAAGGGTGTTTCTAGGCTTCAGAGAGCCTTTATATTAGTGCAGAACACTGTACCTTTAATTTAAATGCCCTTGGAGTCTGCTGGGGAAGAGAAATAATACTGACAGTCAGTATGACATGCAGATGAGTGCCGTCGATCTTAGAATCACCGCACACTTCACTCATTTGGGCAGTCACGGGGCCAAAACCAGAGTGTGGAGCCACAGTGTGGCGGTGGAGGCCCAGCAGCAATGGGAGGCCATACAGCACCCTATGACAAAAATGGAAACCACCAGCAGTGTGAGGAGACCTGAAAGTGGCACATGGCAGAGTGTGTGGCGATGGAGACAGCAGCAATGGGTAGGCCGTACAGGGACCCATGACACACTCTGGACCTGGCAGCAGCATGAGGAGGCGGTACAGGGGATCATGACAGATTACGGGCCTGGCAGCAGCATGAGGAGTTGGTACGGGGGCCCATGGCAGATTACGGGCCTGGCAGCAGCAATGGGAGGCCGTACAGGGACCCATGACACACTCTGGACTGGCAGCAGCATGAGGAGGCGGGGGTACTAGGGGGCGCATGACAGATTACGAGCCTGGCAGCGCAACTTGGGAAAGGGGGGACGTTCAGCTTCTTCACACGGAATCCTACGCGGAAGAGAAAGAGGTGCTAGCAGGAGAAGGAGCATCTGAACGAGCGGAATATGCCAACAAGCGACAACAGTGGGCCCTGCTGACAGCTTGATTATGGGCCTGGCAGCAGCATTAGGAGTCGGTACGGGGGGGGGAACCATGGCAAGATTACGGGCCTCGGCTGCCAGCAGCAATGGGAGGCCCGTAATCTGTTGTAACACACCAGCAGTGTTGAGGAGACCTGAAAGTGGCAAATGGCAGAGTGTGGCGATAGAGACAGCAGCAATGGGAGGCCGTACAGGGACCCCATGTAGAGACACTCTATGGACCTGGCAGCAGCATGAGGAGGAGGCGGTACAGGGGCCCATGGCAGATAAGGGGCCTGGCAGCAGCTATGGGAGGCCCGTAATCTGCCAGCACCCTATGACAAAAAAATGGAACACACCAGCAGTGTGAGGAGACCTGAAAGTGGCACATGGCAGAGTGTGGGCGATGGAGACAGCAGCAATGGGAGGCCGTACAGGGGACCCATGAGAGACTGTGGACCTGGCAGCAGCATGAGGAGGCGGGGGGTACTGGGGCCATGGCAGATTACGGGCCTGGCAGCAGCAATGGGAGGCCCGTAATCTGCCAGCACCCTATGACAAAAAATGGAACACACCAGCAGTGTGTGAGGAGACCTGAAAGTGGCACATGGCAGAGTGTGGCGATGGAGACAGCAGCAATGGGAGGCCGTACAGGGACCCATGAGACACTGTGGACCTGGCAGCAGCATGAGGAGGCGGTACAGGGGCCCATGGCAGATTAGGGGCCTGGCAGCAGCTATGGGAGGCCCGTAATCTGCCAGCACCCTATGACAAAAAATGGAACACACCAGCAGTGTGAGTGAGAGAGACCTGAAAGTGGCACATGGCAGAGTGTGGCGATGGAGACAGCAGCAATGGGAGGCCGTACAGGGACCCATGAGAGACTGTGGACCTGGCAGCAGCATGAGGAGGCGGTACTGGGGCCCATGGCAGATTACGGGCCTGGCAGCAGCAATGGGAGGCCCGTAATCTGCCAGCACCCTATGACAAAAAATGGAACACACCAGCAGTGTGTGAGGAGACCTGAAAGTGGCACATGGCAGAGTGTGGCGATGGAGACAGCAGCAATGGGAGGCGGTTCAGGGACCCATGAGACACTGTGGACCTGGCAGCAGCATGAGGAGGCGGTACAGGGGCCCATGGCAGATTAGGGGCCTGGCAGCAGCAATGGGAAGGCCCGTAATCTGCCAGCACCCTATGACAAAAAAACCCTGGGCTGGGGCAGGCAGAACCGCCGTATCTTTATCACGGTTTTCCCAGGCACCGAATGGCGACGCTGCATATGCTGACGCAAAGCTGTAGTCCCAACATGGGCAGAGTGGCCACGCTTGACTTTCTGGCCACATAGTCGGAGGCCGACAGGGACGGCTACGTTTACTTCCTCGGGACGGCTTGACGAAAAATTGCCACACCGCCGAGTAGGAAACTTTGCCCCCGCTACTCCTCACTGGCTGACTGTACTTCCTCCTGTGCACACCGGCACCACTACTGGCCGGGTGGTAGGCTGCAGTGGAGCTGGTGATCTACTCAGCGTGCAGCCGTTTGCCTCCACTGACACTGCTGCGACCCTGCTGCCTCCTGGCAGCAGCAATGGGAGGCCGTAGAGGGACCCATGACACACTGGACTGGACCTGGCAGCAGCATGAAGGAGGCGGTACAGGGGCCCATGGCAGATTACGGGCCTGGCAGCAGCAATGGGAGGCCCGTAATCTGCCAGCACCCTATGACAAAAAATGGAACACACCAGTAGTGTGAGGAGACCTGAAAGTGGCACATGGCAGAGTGTGGCGATGGAGACAGCAGCAATGGGAGGCCGTACAGGGACCCATGAGAGACTCTGGAACTGGCAGCAGCATGAGGAGGTGGTACAGGGGCCCATGGCAGATTAGGGGCCTGGCAGCAGCTATGGGAGGCCCGTAATCTGCCAGCACCCTATGTCAAAAAATGGAACACACCAGCAGTGTGTGAGGAGACCTGAAAGTGGCACATGGCAGAGTGTCGCGATGGAGACAGCAGCAATGGGAGGCCGTACAGGGACCCATGAGAGACTCTGGACCTGGCAGCAGCATGAGGAGGCGGTACAGGGGCCCATGGCAGATTAGGGGCCTGGCAGCAGCAATGGGAGAGGCCGTAATCTGCCAGCACCCTATGACAAAAAATGGAACCCCAGGGCTGGGTGCAGGCAGAACCGCCGTATGCTTTATCACGGTTTTCCCAGGCCACCGAATGGCGACGCTGCATATGCTGACGCAACGCTGTAGTCCCAACATGGGCCCCCTGGCCACGCTTGACTTTCTGGCCACATAGTCGACATACGGCTACGTTTACTTCCTCGGGCGGCTTGACGAAAAATTGCCACACCGCCGAGTAGGAAACTTTGCCCCCGCTACTCCTCACTGGCTGACTGCTACTTCCTCCGTGCACACCGGCACCACTACTGGCCGTGGTGGTAGGCTGCAGTGGAGCTGGTGATCTACTCCGTGGCCGTTTGCCTCCACTGACACTGCTGCGACCCTGCTGCCTCCTGGGCAGCAGCAATGGGAGGCCGTAGAGGGACCCATGACACACTCTGGACCTGGCAGCAGCATGAGAGAGGCGGTACAGGGGCCCATGGCAGATTACGGGCCTGGCAGCAGCAATGGGAGGCCCGTAATCTGCCAGCACCCTATGACAAAAAATGGAACACACCAGTAGTGTGAGGAGACCTGAAAGTGGCACATGGCAGAGTGTGGCGATGGAGACAGCAGCAATGGGAGGCCGTACAGGGACCCATGAGAGACTCTGGACTGGACTGGCAGCAGCATGAGGAGGTGGTACAGGGGCCCATGGCAGATTAGGGGCCTGGCAGCAGCTATGGGAGGCCCGTAATCTGCCAGCACCCTATGTCAAAAAATGGAACACACCAGCAGTGTGTGAGGAGACCTGAAAGTGGCACATGGCAGAGTGTCGCGATGGAGACAGCAGCAATGGGAGGCCGTACAGGGACCCATGAGAGACTCTGGACCTGGCAGCAGCATGAGGAGGCGGTACAGGGGCCCATGGCAGATTAGGGGCCTGGCAGCAGCTATGGGAGGCCCGTAATCTGCCAGCACCCTATGACAAAAAATGGAACACACCAGCAGTGTGTGAGGAGACCTGAAAGTGGCACATGGCAGAGTGTCGCGATGGAGACAGCAGCAATGGGAGGCGGTACAGGGACCCATGAGACACTGTGGACCTGGCAGCAGCAGCATGAGGAGGCGGTACAGGGGGCCCATGGCAGATTAGGGGCCTGGCAGCAGCAATGGGAGGCCCGTAATCTGCCAGCACCCTATGACAAAAAATGGAACACACCAGCAGTGTGAGGAGACCTGAAAGTGGCACATGGCATGAGACACTGTGGACCTGGCAGCAGCATGAGGAGGCGGTACAGGGGCCCATGGCAGATTAGGGGCCTGGCAGCAGCTATGGGAGGCCCGTAATCTGCCAGCACCCTATGACAAAAATTGGAACACACCAGCAGTGTGTGAGGAGACCTGAAAGTGGCACATGGCAGAGTGTGCGATGGAGACAGCAGCAATGGAGGCCGTACAGGGACCCATTAGAGACTCTGGACCTGGCAGCAGCATGAGGAGGCGGTACAGGGGCCCATGGCAGATTACGGGCCTGGCAGCAGCAATGGGAGGCCCGTAATCTGCCAGCACCCTATGACAAAAAATGGAACACACCAGCAGTGTGAGGAGACCTGAAAGTGGCACATGGCATGACACACTGTGGACCTGGCAGCAGCATGAGGAGGCGGTACAGGGGCCCATGGCAGATTAGGGGCCTGGCAGCAGCTATGGGAGGCCCGTAATCTGCCAGCACCCTATGACAAAAAATGGAACACACCAGCAGTGTGTGAGGAGACCTGAAAGTGGCACATGGCAGAGTGTGGCGATGGAGACAACCCACCGACTGTTTTGCTCGCTGCCAAGCTGCCACCCTCTTCTCCTGATGATGCGGAAGCAATAGCCTGATGACGACGAGGCTGCCAAGTGCGATCAGCCTCATCATCATCAATTAGGGTCTCCGCCTCACTACTAGCCCCCTCGGCTGCGTGTGGGTCAGGAGACAGACCTGTCTCTACACCGGCTACCGAGCCACTCTCCTCGCCACTACTTCTTCGCCTGGCTGCTGAAGAGGCAGATGTCTCCCCCCGTTCCTGACCGCCCTCTGTTAGCTCTTCCTCACTGTACTGGATGACACCGGGAGCACTGGCCTCTGGCTGCGAATAGTTCTGCCTCGACCCCTTCCTCTGCTGCCACGTCTGCTCGCTCCTAAAACATTGCCTCCTCTGCCACTCCTCTGCATGTTGTCTGACATACTCTTTAATTCAACGATTCTGTGTCCCTGAGTAACAATTCTGTGTCTGTCCCTGAGTAACAATTCTGTGTCCCTGAGTAACGTTTCTGTGGCCCTAAGTAACAGTTCTGTGGCCCTCAGTAACAATTCTGTGTCCCTCAGTAACAATTCTGTGTCCCTCAGTAACAATTCTGTGTCTGTCCCTGAGTAACAATTCTGTGTCCCTGAGTAACAATTCTGTGTCCCTGAGTAACCTGTGTCCCTCAGTAACAATTCTGTGTCCCTCAGTAACAATTCTGTGTCCCTGAGTAACAATTCTGTGTCTGTCCCTGAGTAAGAATTCTGTGTCTGTCCCTGAGTAACAATTCTGTGTCCCTAAGTAACGTTTCTGTGGCCCTAAGTAACGTTTCTGTGGCCCTAAGTAACGATTCTGTGGCCCTCAGTAACAATTCTGTGTCCCTCAGTAACAATTCTGTGTCCCTGAGTAACAATTCTGTGTCTGTCCCTGAGTAAGAATTCTGTGTCTGTCCCTGATTAACAATTCTGTGTCCCTGAGTAACGTTTCTGTGGCCCTAAGTAACAGTTCTGTGGCCCTGGCCCTCAGTAACAATTCTGTGTCCCTCAGTAACAATTCTGTGTCCCTCAGTAACAATTCTGTGTCTGTCCCTGAGTAACAATTCTGTGTCTTTCCCTGAGTAACAATTCTGTGTCCCTGAGTAACATTTCTGTGGCCCTAAGTAACAGTTCTGTGGCCCTCAGTAACAATTCTGTGTCCCTCAGTAACAATTCTGTGTCTGTCCCTGAGTAACAATTCTGTGTCTGTCCCTGAGTAACAATTCTGTGTCCCTCAATAACATTCTGTGTCCCTCAGTAACAATTCTGTGTCCCTCAGTAACAATTCTGTGTCCCTGAGTAACAATTCTGTGTCCCTCAGTAACAATTCTGTGTCCCTCAGTAACAATTCTGTGTCCCTGAGTAACAATTCTGTGTCTGTCCCTGAGTAAGAATTCTGTGTCTGTCCCTGAGTAACAATTCTGTGTCCCTAAGTAACGTTTCTGTGGCCCTAAGTAACGTTTTGTGGCCCTAAGTAATGTTTCTGTGGCCCTAAGTAACGATTCTGTGGCCCTAAGTAACGTTTCTGTGGCCCTAAGTAACGTTTATGTGGCCCTAAGTAATGTTTCTGTGGCCCTAAGTAACGTTTCTGTGTCCCTCAGTAACAATTCTGTATCCCTCAGTAACAATTCTGTGTCTGTCCCTAAGTAACAATTCTGTGGCCCTAAGTAAAGTTTCTGTGGCCCTAAGTAATGTTTCTGTGTCCCTAAGTAACGATTCTGTGGCCCTAAGTAACGATTCTGTGGCCCTAAGTAACGTTTCTGTAGCCCTAAGTAA